TTAAGAATCATTATCTGAGAATATCGGGCAGATTTATTGCACGACCTTCCCTATTTCACAATCTTTTCTGCTCATTGCGTAGAGCGTTTAAAAGTTGATACTTTCTGAAATGTTTTCACCTCGGAATCATATCTTCGCTGAGCTACAGGATTTTTGCCAAACAGTGCATTTTTACACCTTCGACTAGCCTTTTTCTAAAAATCTTATTTTTTTTCCCTTATAAGTAGTGGATAATTCTTTTTATAGCGTGGAGTACTTAGTTTGATCAGAGCTTCAAATGAGATATGTTTCAATGATACTACCGGTGGTCGAGCATCCCAATGGACCAAGAGGGGCTAAGATCTTAGAATAACAATAAATGCCTTCGGTAACAGTGAGAAACAAAACTGAGTACTACATTTTGTAGACAAATGTTTAAAAGCTAGATAACAAAAAAGAAATTTTTGGATCTCGCAAAACGGCTGAGAAATAACAATTTTTTTATTTATGGTACAGCATCATTTTTGGTGATGTTTGAAGATAGCCTCATGTGCGATATGATAGGTAGCAGCTATACATGGACGTCATGTAGTCTTAGTGTACCAATATTCTAGAATATATTCTGACATATGAGACCACCGACGTACACGATTCAGACGGCATGCTAACAGAAAGTTGACAAAAATCAGCACTTTATACGTCGATAGACATTTTGGATTTGTTCACGGATTTTTTTCTTTTCTTGTTTAGTCATCGTTTTTGCAAAAAGTGAGTCGTATGATCTAGAGAACTATTTATCGTAGAGACATTCTGAAAACGGGAAATAGCTCTCTGGGTACTGAATGTGGACTATTTCACGTTCTATTTTTAAACAACCGTCCAGATTCGACGGGATGATTTTCATAAGTGGAAGAAAAATATGTCTTGGAGTTTGAACTTTTTCATTGCTAATAGTTGTCCGGCGCCATATGTTTTGATTTGGAGACAAAACTGAGAAATGAATCTGTGTACATTGAGATTTTCTTCTAACGTTTCTAGTTTGTAGAGGATACTTCGAAGTATATATCCTGAACTTTTTTCGGTTTACTGGCTGATTATCTGGCTGAGACAAAAATTAATTACTTAAAAGAATATTGTTAAGTTTTTGAACAAGGGACGATTATTAAAAGAATTCCTGTCCATTCTGCATTCATCATAAAAACTTGGTTCTTGTCGAGATCGATAGAGAAGTATGTGGAGAATATTTACTACGAAAAATATGTAAAAGTGTTTGTTCTATCCTTCCTGTTGTGGACTAATTAGTACTAATTAGCGCCAATTTAGTCTAATCTACTAGTTTAAAGTGCCATTTAAAAATAACAACAACTCAACGAAAAAATTCAAGTAATAGCTCATCTGACAGAAAATCTCACGAGCTACAAGGTAGACCATCACAGAAGTTTTAAAATTCAGTTTTGGTTGCTAAATTTTTTAATAGTGTTTTTTTTAAGTAATTGATTTTTGTCTCAGCCAGATAATGTCAGTAAGCCGAAAAAGCTTCAGAACATATACTTCGAAGTATCCTCTACAAACTGGTGGGACCAGTTCCCTTAAAGAACTGATTATTTTTCATAGTGGGTGTATCCTCATTGTCTATCGACATCGCAACTTGTGCGTAGCAGAATTGCATTCTAGTTCCAAATTTGACTTTTAATGTTCACAAAATCCGTAATAGTTTTATATTATTTCACACATCGTCACTGATTTTATGTGAGTTTCAACCAACACTCATATTTTTACATGTTCTTCTAATTCGTCACGTCATGATCTTATACTTAAAACTGTTACCGATAATTTCTTAAATATCGCAAATAAAAGGCTTAAATTGCATCAGGATTATTTAAATAATTGAACAGAAGGTTTTAATGTAAATGATTGTGCAGAGTTTCAAATCTATATAGTTAATCGTACAAATACGCAAAATTTCGTACAGACGGAAATCGTTTACAGGCCAACTTTAAAAACTATCTTTTAATATGAATTTCTAGTTCGGAACACGAGCTATCTTTTCTGCCTGAAAATTCTGATCGAAATGAGTTCAAAGCAGATTTTATTTTGAGAAAAATCGACAATTTGCGGAATATTCGATGAATATATATAGGTTCCTATGAGAATTTTGTGAAATTCGTATCTCGTGGAAAAAACTACGTAAAAGGTTAGAGTACGCCTCATTTTGATCAGAATTTTACTGGCTACAACCCAGATAGGGCGAAAAACTGTTCCGATGGGTTCTTTACGAGTCTGTTTTTTCTGGCAAACCGGTTTTTGAGAAATGTAAAACATTTCCAATTTTTTATGTGTAAACAGCCTAAATCTTCTTCTACTAAAAGCTTTTGAAAGCAACATAGAATTTTAAAAATAAATTCTAATTTAATGGTACAATAAGAGCATCTCCATGAAATCTTCAGAAGGTTTTTGAAAAACATTTAGTTTTAAATTAAATGCAAGAAAGAAAAAAATGTGATCAGATATGTCACAATAGGCTTGAATTGAAAAGCATGGGCATGTTTATAATCATGAACATTAAAGCATCTGATGTGACGAGAACGCCTTCGGAAATGGTTTCAACAAGGCATTCAGTGTCACTGCAATCCACAGCGATACCATTCCCGGCAGTCAGTAAAAGAGAAGAGAAAATTATCGAGCTTTTATTTAGGAAAATTAGTTCTAGTTTTATAGAAACATAAAAAGAAAAAACAAAACAAAAAATGGCCTTCAAAACCTACTTATTAGAATCTAAGCTTTTGTGCTTCTATAGACTGAACTGACATATCTGATCACACTTTTTGTTTCTTGCATTTAATCAATTTTACATCCTTCCATTTTGACCAAATTCTTTCTTGTTTTTTAAAAAATTTCTGTCCGAAAACATTGCTTATCCATCATATTGCTTCAACCTGTAGCTAAAAATCGGCAGAAAACCAAATATTTTTCAGAAACCTTCTGCATCTATGCCAATAGCAGCATTAAAATTCGAGAAAACAGGTTTGTTTTTATTGCTTTTTATAGAATTTAGCCTTTTGCCATGAAATACGGAATAATCGTATCGCCGCCACTAGTGGCATATGTAAACATACGTAAACTTTTGACTATATGATGTCCTGTTTTATGCTAATCATGCGGATCTGAAAAATAAATTTTAGTACAAAATGTTTAGAACGTTCAGAAATTGAAGCCTGCCTTAATCGACTGAAGCGGAAACCTAGTGAAAAGAACTTGTTTGAAGTTCTGTTTGATCCGTGTATTGGTATTCGTTTCAAAATACAAGAGCAGTAGATATTTTTTGAATTACTTTTGATAGTACAGCTAAAGAGCTGCGGTTTTCATCATACAAAAGAGAAGACTTGCAGGCATGTTTCCACAAGCCGAATTATTTTCAGAAGCAGGCTTTGTAGGAGATCTTTGAAATACCAGATCGTGTGTAAAACTTGTCCAACAAAATTATGTTAATTTTTCCATGGATTGGTAGCCTTGGATGTGCTCCTGAAAATGGGAGTCAAACAAGATCTAGATTTCTACGGCTCTGGCATTGTACCGGTTTTCCTACGAGCTCCAGGACTTGCACTTGATGACCACTGGTAGCCCCGAAAGTCAATGGACTATAGGTAATTGATCTTGCTGAGTCTCGTGACAATATTTGCTTTTACAAAAAGTTCTAAAAATCTAGCGAAAAAAGGGGTTTTACGAAAATTACGGTTTTTAGGCTGTTTTTACCTAATATTAGAAAACTAACTATTCGTTCAAAATATATCAGAACGAGTTCAGTACTTCAGAATATGGTTGATTCCACTCGCTAAACGTGACTATAAGATCGAAAAAATCGAAAAATCATATTTTTATTAATGGATTTTCCAGAAACCCTTTCTGAGACCCTTAGAAGTCTATAAAATCTCTTTCTAGATCTCTTGTAAACAAGAGGTAGAATAGCCTAAATGCAAGTGCAAGTGTAATGTCTCTAGGGATAAAACGAAGACTTCTTCTATTTTTTTATTTATTTATTTCTCCCTTGTTATGTTTTGCGTTTTCATGTTTACATGTGTGTATTTCTGTGCATAGTGCTAAAGTGGGTTTTTAACCCTTTGTGCTCAGGTTTATACTTTCTTTTTAATAAAGGTTGTAATCAACGGTCAAGCGTGGACGGTGAATATTAATGAGAGGAAAGAAAGAGACATCACTTGAAATCAGCTGCGCTGTGGACGCGTCTTTGTTATTTCCTCTAAAGGAGAATAGCGTTTCAAAAAACCAAGATTCTAGAAAACCTTCTGGAGAGTTTCTAAAACCTCTTTTTGCTGAATTCGAACTCAGCATACTTGAAAGCCTATAGAGACACTAAAATAGACGCATTCTGGTTCCTTTTAACCTTAAATACCAAAAGATTTTTCTGGAAAATAAAATCCCACAAAAACCGAGTTTTACGCCATTTTTTCAACGCCGTGGGAAGTGCAAATGTGAAAACCTATTTGATCGATGTTTTGAGTGAAATGGATCAATTTCAGACCAAAATGTCCACGTGCCTATAGAAAATTCCTCCATTTTTGTGGAATCACTGATTCAGAAGATATCATTATATTTATCTAAATGATATGCCAAACTATTTAATAATCTAATCTTTAAATTAAAAAATCTTTCATGGAGCTAATAGTCAGTTCTCCGCACTATTAATAATATATATCATTGCATTGTTCTTCTATTGTTGCCAGAAATATTCCTAAAAGTATCCACCTGGCTTTTTCCCATTCTACATCACGCACTCTGCAACAAAATCTCGTATTCGTATATGTAATACAATTTAAAGCCATACTATTTTCGTGCAAAGTATTTTCTTTCCTTTAGAAATCATACGTGGGCACTGAGAAATAGTCCTTATGACACCTGATGTAAATTTTCACATCTAATCTAAATTTTCAATGCAGTGCATAAATACAAACTATTTTTTTCAATCAAAATCATTAGTCGAGTGCATTCATCTATTACTTAAGACAATGCGGCTGTTAGTTGGTTTCGTCCTTGTTACATATATCATCAATTGTGCAATTTGTATCCCGGTGACTGATGAAAGTAGCAGACTTCTACTCAATTCCGCTACTATTCAATCATTATGGCCACAAATTCAACAATTGATACCTCAAATTCAACAATGGGTACCTCAAATTCAACAATTATTAACCAGTGACAAAGTACAACAATTACAACAACAGTTTTCCGGTTTATTGTTGAACGCCCTTGGACACCAAGTCAATGTTCACACTCTTGCACAACAGGTTCAGAATCTAGTAAGTCAATACTTGCCCCAAACTGCATTACAACGAATTGATTTCGACGCCGCCGCACGAGGTTGGTTCGACGATTTTCTCAATGTAGTACAAACTATTGCTCCTATTGTTGTTCCAATTATAACGATGATTGGTAAGCGTGAAGTTGGTGATGAACGACTAGATATTCAGTCATTATTCCAACAAATTCAACAATTGATACCTCAAATTCAACAATGGATACCGCAAGTTCAACAACTATTAAACAGTGATAAATTACAACAATTACAACAACAGTTTTCCGGTTTATTATTGAACTCCCTTGGACACCAAGTCAATGTTCACACTCTTGCACAACAGGTTCAGAATCTAGTAAGTCAATACTTGCCCCAAACTGCATTACAACGAATTGATTTCGACGCCGCCGCACGAGGTTGGTTCGACGATTTTCTCAATGTAGTACAAACCGTTGCTCCTATTGTTGTTCCAATTATAACGATGATTGGTTAGATGTGTGTGAATATTTGTCAAGATTTTTTTGAGATTTTTTTTTGTTGATTAGTGTAAAAGTTCATTGAAAAGTAAAAGATCAATTGCTATCTCTCGTTGTCGAAGCGTAAATGCACATATTAACTATGCTAAACAATCTATTCTTTGCACGGATCTACCAGAAAGTTCTAATAAAGATAGTTACTTATCCTAATTACTGATCACGCTATCAGCGTCTAATGCAGCAACACAAGCTAGTTGAAGTTGAACGGTTTGAGATTACGTAATCTGGTAAGACAATAAAAATAATCTATAATATCCAGTACACTGTCTTAACTTGTGCAACTTTTTTTTTCAATATGAAGCAGTGTAGCATCGAGAAATGGATAACGAGAAATACAGTGACTTTGAACTTGAATAAAGACGGCTCAAATTGGTTTTGACATCGAGATGTTTTTTGCAAATACTGTAGCAAACATGTTACTGAATCATTTAACATCATTCATATTTTCCCCTAAACAAATTTTATCGGAAGAAATAAAATAATTTATGAAGCTATATTATTAGAAGTCCAAAAGTTTGTGAATGAAATTGTTATCTACGATCTAATAGGTCTTAGTTATGTAAATGATCTTTTCTGCGCGTTCAGAAGGGCTCAAAAAAATGATTTTCAGGTCACAAAGAGCTTTTTTGGGTCATTTTGGGCCTACAAAACCTTAAGAATTTGGAAAAGACTTGGTCGAGTAGTGTACGAAAGAAATTTTTGACATCTCTGAACCTCTTTAACTTTGATCTATATAATAGATATATATCAAAATTGATCGGTTTTTACTAGAGAAGCGGAATTTTAAACCTCAGATATTCTGGATTAGCACGCCTAATTACGTTAAATGACAGATCTACTGGAATTACCTGCGTTTTTCAGTTAAGGTTCTACACGTTGAGGTTTCGTGTTGTTCAACAATTGGGTTAATTTTTATAGTAGTTTAAAGTACGAAAATTGTATTCAGTGTTAAGCTATTCTTTAGATAAAGATACCCTCAAGTAGTTTCATAGACTGTTATCCGATACCTGACCAAACTGTTGTTCGCAATGGAATTCGTCACCCTAATTCCGAACATTTTAGGTTCAAAACTCCGCTTCTCCAGAAAAAAACCGGTCAGATTTTGATATATATGATAGAATTGCATTGACAGCTTCCAGAAAGAACCGATACGACCATTGAACCGGTGATTTCTCGGAAAGCGACGCTGGCATATAATCTGACAATATTGAACGACTCTCAAAGCCCTAATTTGTTTCAGGTGCGCTAAGTCTTGCCACGGTTGGAATTTATTAGAAGAAACCATTATCTCTCAGCAGCTTGTCCACCTTACGTGCTTAGGGTTAAAGTAATGGAGCGAGAATGGTCATTGACTAGGCAGTCGGAACTAATTTAGACTGATTTCAGTGCGGCGAATGTCACTGGCTTTATTTATCAAGGACCACCATACGCTCGACACCAAAGCCGATCTACTCTTAGTAGGTGGGTAATCTGAAAGTCCTCAAGGCAGTAGCCTAGCGAAGGGCTTGTGTCTGATCACTCTTGCTTATGCAAGGACCGAGGACATGGGTCACAAAAAGCTTATCGTTGACGTAGTGTGCTGAATTTTCATTTAGTAATCAGCACACATACACTTAAATAGAGAAAAGGAACAATGCACAAATACATCAATACTCATATATAGACAAAAGTCAGATAACATGTTTCGATCTGACCTTTTATTTTAGAATATGTTCATTTAAACATTTTTTTGACTTTTACTTCAATTTCCATTGGAAATTTACTGGTTACAGTTATACAAGAATATAAATATGTCAATGCTGATTAGTAATAAGTAGAACATAGCAAAACGTTCGATTTTCCATCGGGCTGAAAATAAGAGAAAAAAATACATATTCTGATTCGTAATTTCACGAGGATTCCGAATATGCTATCCGTTTTCTTGGACAACTCTTAGTTTTCGAGAAAGAAGCGAAATACTGTTATGGCGTGGAAACTAGCGCTTTTTATTCTATTCTCCCATTTTTCTCCGTTCTGAATATATTCTTTTTTTCTCTGATTTCCCTTATTTTCATGTTATCAGAATGAAGAGACAGAACGAAAAACAGAATATCCATGTACAGAACACTGATTATGTATAGACAGTTACATTTTAGTGTGAATGTTCATACTCTTCAATTTACAAAATCACTCACTATGAATTTAATACACTATCAACTTGATTGCTTTTCTCTAATATTTAAGCCGAACTAAAAGTAACCTTTTCCGATTTGTAGTGAGACGCAGACTATTCAACTTGGGCATTAAGATAGACTGTTTTTCAAAAAGGCTAGAGAGTCTAAATGTTAAGCTATTTGTTTTGCAATTTAAGTGTCTGGCTGAACAAAACACAACATTCTTCTGCATATATATTATATATTGGAGCAAATTAAATATTGATGATCAATTCATTGTTTGACTACCATGACTTTCCGGCTTCCTCTTCGGGTCACAGTAGCAAATCTTCCATTCGACTTCATT